AACATGCTATCTCCAAATATGAAAATGTGGAGATTCCAAATACAACAAGAGGTGTGCAGGATGTACTAAAATTACAGACCAGAGAAACAATTAGCCACCTGAACATGCATCCCCAATGATGGAGAAAGTGAAATGGAAAATCCAGGCCTAATACTCAAAGGAGATCCTCAAATGCAGGGGTAGGCAACCTTTCCCCTTTAAGGGCCGAGGGACTTCAGCTCCCAGAAGCCTCAGCCATGTTGGCCAATAGTCCCATGTTGGCCAATAGCTCCTGGGATTCTGGGAGCTGGAGTCCCTCGGCCCTTAAAGGGGAAAGGTTGCCTACCCCTGCTCAAATGGGTGAAAACTGGAGAATAGCTTTACTACCATTAGTGATTGTACAGAAGGGGGATTTCAGCAGGTGCTGCTCATCATGCAATCAGGTAACAAGCAACACCTGCAGAAATCTCCTCTTCTACACAACCATTAAAGGTACAAGAGCATCATGTAAAAATCTTTTCCCAATCATACCATAAAGACAGGAAAAGGATGGGACAAGGATGTCCTTTTCCCCATCTGATAATCTCCACAGCTGTGTCAATGCCACTGACCCTTTGTTAGACTGCCTCTTGTTCTTCACTTCATTGCAGCCACCACTGATGCACACTAGGCTGTGACCGCATTTCCACACCCCAGCTGCACCCACTCTCCAAACTCAACTCCTTTGCCTCCATGTGTGACAAAACAAATAGGCTGACTCTGACACTTATGTTCCCTCCAGGCTCCATCCTCAACTCCAACTGCATTATAAATTTAAGCTTCACAGTGTTCAACATCTCTTCTTTTCCAGGATGTGTACAAACCCACCTATTCATGGAGCCCCCAAGTGCAGCATGGAGGCAAAGTGATGATTCTCTTGGATCAGGGGTTGGAAACCGCCAAAATGGCAGCCACGACTCGTTTGCACATGTGCAGTACTTCTGTGCATGCACAAATGAGCCACGGCCTCCATTTTGGCAAACAAAATGGCAGCCGTGACGCATGTGGTGGCAGGCATGGTGGCGGCAGCGGCAGCAGGGGTTGGCGGCAGTGGTCGGCAGGGGCCATGCGCACACGTATGAGCATGTGCACCGCCATTCCCCCCCTCCCAGCCCAGCAGAAGACCTGGGGTCTAGCAACCGGCCCCAGGTAAAAAATCCTTGCCAACCCCTGTCTTGGATCATTAAAACCTAAGCCTGAGCACTGTGTATGAATCCAATCCTTCTCCACAAACATTTTAAAAAGAAAAGGGTGTTGTTTTAAATAGTTACATGTAGAATTACATTTAAAAGTGTTTGCTGTTCCAAATGTATTCTGTGCAGCACCCCTCAATATGCACATGTCTGTATGATTTAGAAAATGTGAAGACAAGAGCTGTTGTCCCACTCACCATCCCTGCTGATCCCATGACCTTCAGCTAATTCTAATGCTCTTCAAGAGTCTTCCTCATCACTCAAACCAGTTTTTATTGACAAAGGAAGGAAGCATTGTTGTTGAGTTTATCTTGTCCATGCCGTGCTGTGGAATCTTGTGTCTCAGGAAAAGTTTCAGAGTTGGTTTCATTTCCTTCCCTTAGGTTCTCACATTTAGTGCAAAAAGAGATAATATAGATTCTCTGTCAAACAGCTGAACTTGATCCATGCCATCACTTTAAGAAAAAAGGTGAAACAGAAAATAATACTCATTGTCAAAATAGCCAAACTGGGCCCAATAGAAATGAATGCCCCAGTCACATTTATTTATCAACACTTATCCTCACACTCTAATGATGACTTTGAAGGTAAAAAATACAATGTGTCATAACTTGTATTGATTTTGGCTGTTGAATGTTTTATGACAAGGTGTCTCTCAGCATGAATTCTGAACAGGAGATCAATCGGATACTTAAGATATTGTAACACTTGAGTGACATGCTTCCTATTTTTCCTTCTAGGACTGCCAGCCAATTTTCATATGTATTTGAAGAGCACTTTCTCCTATAATGGGTAGTTGTTGACCTTCTAGTACTGCTTTCTAGATTATTGGCTGAAATGCTTTTCTTTATCTTATTATTACGTCACTAATTTGCTTTTCTTGAAAACTTTATTATATGTCTTCCTAAAAAATTGATGTTGTACTAAAGTATAAGATATTTGGTATTTGACAAATGCCCAACTGATAGGTTCAAGATATGATTACTGGAGTCAGTCCTCAACCTGTTTTCAATCTCAGTTGTGGAATATGTGAGAAAGTAAAACAAAAAAAGAAAGTGCCTTTGAACAAGTGAAGACAGGCCATGGCCTTTTCCAGCACACACCTAGGATTAAAGATTGAGGAACACAGCATAAAGTGGCCAGTGTCTGGGTTATTCCAACCCCTGTCACACCCCTCTTTATACACAGGCAGGGTGATGGAATCATTAGTTGTGGACAGCTCCATCATCAGAGCTAGCAAAGAGCTAACTAGCATGAGCTTCAGACAGCAGAAATTAGGGAGAAACAACTATTCTCCTCCCTGGGCCACTGAAAGCACCCCTATATTAGATCTGCAGCCAAAGGAAGCATGACTGAGGACCAATTTACTGGCCAATTCTGCTTAACATAGCATTCCCTATAGCAGTGATGGCAAACCTTTTAGAGGCCAAGTGCCCAAACTAAAATGCCTTACCCGGTGCCGGGAGCATGACTTTCTCCCTCCAGGGATACTATTTAGCCAAGAACATGTAAAATTATGTTAAGTAAAATGTGATATAGAATTCTGATATACATTCCTAACTTCATGTTTATACACAAATAGTTGAAATCAGAGAAATTTGCAAGCCATAATGAAAGTGCAAATTATTCTGTTGCTCAGTTATTTGTGCAGTTAAGGTTTAAGCTCATGGTAGCATTCCAGATAACCCTACCCTGTACCATAGCCTGCAATTATTTCTCTGGTCACTGAATGCATAATGAGATTTACTTATGTATTTACTTAAATATTTATATTCTCTGCTTGGTTGTGGGATCTCAGGGCACTGTTCAATATAAACAGTTCAAAACACTTCCATGTTGAAACTAAAAATCACTTAAGATAAAAACACATTAAACAAGAAAAACCATGCACATGTACATTTCAAAGTAGAGTTGCCACTCCGTTTTTGTGGAAGATCCATTCTGGACCCCTCCTCCCCCCACAAAAACAGAAAATTGCCAATATTCAAGGCCCATTGGCTTGAATGGTGGCACAGGCCTGTGGGTGCCCATGGATGAGTGCCACAGGCATGCACCTCATTTTGTCCCCCTCCATTTGCCACCCACAAATGGGTGAGAGACGAAGACTCCACGTCCCCAAAAATGGAGGGGTGACTGTAAATTATTCCCCCAAGGTTTTAATATGAAGCCATCTTTTGTCTTGGCACTAGAAGCAAACCAACAGTGCTACTAGTTGGACCTCCAAGGGGACAGCTTCCAAAATCAGGACCTCCTTGGACCTCTTCCTTCTTCTTGGACCTCCAAGGGAAGGGCTTACCACAACTGAGAAGACCTGTCCCATGTCCTGCCACTTCATATTGCCTCCAATGGTGAGACATAGAAGGACCCCTCTTGCAAAACTCAGTTCTTGGACATATATAAGGAGAAGTGCTCCTTTATGTATTGTAGTCCCCAAACATTTAAATGTCATCACTAGCACCTTAAATTTATTTTGAAAACAAACTGACAGCCTGTATAGCTCTTTTAAAACTGGTGTCCTATGCTGTTTACATGGTACTCCAGGCAGCCATCTTGTTACTGCTTTTTGCACTAGCTGTAGCTTTTGAGTCATTTTCAAGGAAAGCTCCAAGAGAACAAATTACAATATTCTAATTAGGAAGTTACCTGTATGTGGAATACTGTGACTAATGTCTCCATGTTCAGGAAAGGTGGTACTGGCACACTTGTTGGAGATGATGCCAATTATTTTAAGTCATGTCATCCACTTGGGTCTCCAGTGACAGAAATGGATTTAGGAAACTCCCCAGTTGCACACCTGGTCCTGTGGGCAGGGGTGCCCAGCCTTGTCCAGGCTTGAGATCCACCAATCCACAGAGCTTCTCTGTTATCACAATTCACCTTCAGTTTATTG